AAAATCCTTCTGGAGGGTCAGCTTGGAGTTGGTTCTGACTTGAGACACAACAAACACAGAAGACAGGCTCAGAAGAGTCCTCCCCTAAAGCTTGTGCCCCAAATTTGGACCTCAAACCTCATCGCAGTCTGTGAAAGCCACTTACTCGTAGTAGTTGTTACAGAGCATTAACCAACAAGTTTTACTTTATATTAAAACGGGTACTTCGAAGAGTAAATACCTTATCATACAAACCCAACATGTTATCTGACTTCTAATTACTTCCCATCTCCCACACCTCAGCAACCTATAAAAATATTCACTTACAGTAGGCTTTTATTGCAAAGATCAGAGATCTATTCAACTTAAATGAGCAATAATAGCTGTAATAAAGCACCACAAAATTACCAAGTATTAATTACAAAAGCATTTCAAGAGTCTCATCATAATTTGTCATAGTAATTTTACTTAAAAACATTTATGTTAAGATAAATGATTTGGGGGGTTGGGGGGTAGGAGGACTCCAGGCTGTTCTTTACTCAGTAACAGAGCAAGAGCGTGCTGAGGAAGGCGCACCCCATGCAACAGAAACGTGCTCTGACTGAAACAATTCCACCGCTCAACAATTAGATCTTCAGACTTTCGCTGGAGACAGACACATCTTACTTTATGACCATGTCGTACTAATAAGAGTGGCACCACCTAAAATGCCTCTGGACAATCCTGCCTCAGCCTCACAGACAGGTTGTCATGACAACCTTGACAGCACCCAGCCGCAGCCGCACCGGCTCCCCGCAGGCAAGCCGCAGAACTGCCTGTATGTAAACCTCAGCTTTTATTAATCCGGCCAAGGAAAACTGATTACACTTCCTAATAATTTTGTGTCACACACACCAACCAGTCCCGAGGACTGTCCTTTGTGGAAATGACTTGGGTTGGCACCTACCTTCTTTGACAAATACTTCTGTTTGGGGATAATGTTGGTGACTCGAGGTTTGTGGTCTAGCGTCTCTCGGTTATCGGGTGCTTTCACTTTATATATCCGAACAAGCCAATGTTCTGATGTAAAGGCTTCCTCCAAATGCTTAAATTTAATGTCTTTATTTCCAATCTCTGCATTGCGTGTTCGATCAAAACCTGGTGGTGTACGAAAATCCAGCTGCAAAAACGACATTAAGATATGATGTCAAGCACGTGAGAAAACAGTATCAGAAGATGGTAAATGCTAAGTCAAGCCCGTTCTCACTCCGGCACTGCTGTCGAGTCCTACGGGATCCTCCTCCTGTGGTTATCTGAGGTGGTAAATCACAGGCACTAAAACCCAAACAGCAACGCAATCTCTCAGAGCAGCCTGTATGGGGATGGAGATAAAACGTAAAGGCAGGCAGGTCCTTTCTGCTGCAGGGTCTTACATTTATTCTCTGCCTGAAACAAGCTTCATTCAGCAATGTGTGTGGCTGGCAGGTCCCTGGCCTTTGGGCTTAGCGTACACATTTCTTCAGTACGAATTTTCTTTAGATGGTGCTCTTTGCCATTGTCTCCAAAAGGTACCTCTACGGTATGTATTACTAACATTTTTATTTCAAAACCTACTAGTATCCTTCATGAGATGCAAGCTGCCAGCTTCTGCTGTCCTATTCAGAACGAAGCCTTGCATCCCCGGGGTTTGGTCTGCAGATATTCAGTAAGTGCTAAGTAACTGTATGAGTAATACTGAAAAAAGACATTCACAAGGTGAAAACTACAGGAGAGGCCAACAAAGTCTAACCTCAGGAGCCTGTAGGAGAAATACACTGAGGACTAACTGAGGGAGAATGTAAAGAAATGGGCTGTTATTATGCAACAGAAGTGAACTCAACTTTAAAACGAAAAGCATCTCTACCCAAGTTACAGGACCATCTACACAGTAACAGCAAAGGTTTTATTAAGGGGGCAAAATGGCTCACCTCTCTCCCAGAGAAGCTGGTGAGGTCAAAGCACTGACCTTCCTGTTAACATTATTTAAGTCCTTGACTGAACAGGTCCCACCTCCCTCTCTAATTTTCCCCACATGGAAATATTAGAAATCCAAATTTGATGAAGAAAGACACCACAAATCTTTGGATAAGCCCTTTTCCCCCTGGACAGCACATTCAAAACCACTTCATCCTATGTTTTTAAGAGGCAAACATTTTAAAATATTCTTTTGACTTAACATTACACAAAAAGAAATATAACTGACCTGCATTTCTCCAAATCTGTAATATGACATTTTATACATAAGGCAATTCAACAAAGTGGGAGACCCAGCTTTGTCTACTCGGAATTCTCCCTGTGGGGTGAAATAATCACTTTCCTACAAGAAAGGAAGCAGAAGTTTCAAAGTCAGACCAATTAACACTTCAAAGTTACAATTTCTCTTTTTTATTAAAATTTATTATTAATGTCAATGAAAATGTCCAGAGACTTTGGATTTCCATTCATTCACTGTTGCACTTTTCTCCAGTCCCAACACTCCCCCCTAGTACACTGCCCTCTTGGAAAAAGTAAAAGAAAAATTCTTTCACTGTTTTACAATCCCTCCTCCCCAGGTCCACTCCACTATACAGCCTTCGCTCTGGACTCCTGTCATGACAAAAAGACCTAATAATATATCCCTTTTAAACAGTTTTCTCCCTCATCTGTTTCAATACAGTATACATTACTGAACCCATCTTTCTCAGTCTACCCCCAACCTTGAGATCAGTTCTGTTTTACAATAGTGGTACCATGCAGAATTTGTCCTTTTGTGACTGAGATACTTCACTCAGCATAATGTCCTCCAGGGTCACCGATTTTGCATAATATTTAATGAGTTCCTTGTTTTTCAATGCTGCATAGTATTCCATTGTGTGAATATACCACAGCTTCTCTATCCATTCATTTGTTGATGGGCATATAGGTCGTTTCCAACTCCTTGCTATTGTAACCAAGCCGTGATAAACATGGATGTGCATCTATCTGCCTGGATGTCAGTTATGGTCTCTTTGAGGTATATTCCCAGTAGGGAATTGCTGGGTCAAATGGTATCTCTATTTGCAGCTTTTTGATAAAGTACCATACCGCTTTCCACAGTGGTTGCACCATTTTACACTCCCACCAACATTGAATAAGGGTTCCAGTCTCTCCACAACCTCGCCAGCATTTATTGCTTGCTGTTCTGTTAAATTTTGCTATTCTGACTGGGGTGAGATGATATCTCATAGCTGTTTTGAGAATTCTCCTTTTTTACTTCCCCAATAAAAACGAACTTTTGCAGTATGCCATAAAGACACAACCTTAGATCTCTTAACAAGGACATTAGAAGCTAAGTTTGATGTGATACCCACACGAAAACAAAAATCCCAAAAAGAAACCATCCATTACAGGTTATTTCTAAAAGCTGACCCTGGAGATCATGTTGGTGTTGCTGTGTACCATCGAGTATGAACCGACCCACAGCTGACCGACCGTCTGGCGGGTTTTCAGAGGCAGTTAATTACACAGGAGGAGACTGCCCATCCTTCTCCTGTAGAGCAGCTTCATGCCACTAAGACACCAGAGAGCATGTGTAAACTATAAACCACTATCGGCAAACACACACAAAAAGACCAAACAGTGCTTGCTGAGTAGTATGGGGTAATTACTCTTACTAGACTTGAAATCATGTGCTAACACCCCAATAATTGAGAAGGATGGTGCCATGACCAGGTAGGGGTGTCCTCATCTCCCTAGTCCCCAGGGAGACTATTGTGCCATATGAATTCCAAAACCAACTTTTTAAGTTGAGGGCTGGAGAGAAGTTACTTAGAAACCCTCACAATGAGATGGACTGGCACAGTGTCTAACAATAGGCTCAGCATGTCACACACACACGCACACACAGTATAACAATATGTTCAGCATGTCACACACATACAGAAGGTGTGGGGGGGATGAAGTGGGATAGGATAGAGCAGAGCTCACATCCTCTGCTGCTAAGGTCGCTGTGAGTTGTCAACTCCATGACATTTCACATTTCTTTTCAGTGCAACCTCATTATATTTAGAGGGACAATCTGGCAACATAGGTTTTAAAAATATGCCATTTCGGACCAACTACTTCCACATCTAGGCATTTATCCTGCAGAAATACTTGTACATGGACCCAACATTGAATGCAGGTTAATGAGCTACTTCTTTGACACTGAAGCAATCTAAATCCTAAATGTCATTCCATAGAATAAGGTAATCAGAATCTCGGTAAAATCCCAAGGGTAAAGAGCTCTCCATACTCTAACAAAAAGAGGACCAAAATATAGCCTGAAGGGATGAGGGAGGGGGAAGCCCAAGCATCCCGCCTGCTTGAGGATGCGTCCTGAGAAAGCACCAGTTTCTCAGTGCTTACCAAGGCTCTTTTCTTGTGGAAGGGAGTATGGTTTTACCGGTACTATTTTTTCATTTATCATGCATTACTGATTCACAAAATGATGAATTTTGTGATGAAAGCACAGGGGGAAAAAAATTTCTATACATAGTTAAAGGTATGCATTTAGAAACATAATGCATCTATCACAGCTCATAATTTTAAAATTACTAAAGCAAATCCACAAATCATGTACTAAAAATTAAATTTTAGAAGATTCTCTTAATGTAAGGAAATTTTATCTGTCATAGTTTAGGAAACATCATGCAGCATTTACATTTGAACTGGAGATTAGGAATTCCACTGTACTGCATTCCCATCACATGACGCACACTTCCCCTCGAGTCTCTCTCACTCTCACCTTTCGTGCGCTCATTACAACAGTGGCTGCGTGCTGACGCTCTAAGAACTCCTAACTCAACAGAAAAAAGTGAACTAAAAGGCAAACTGTATGTGATGTGATGACAGCACAGATGTGAGGACACCAGAGCAGAGCCTCTGAAGAGGTTGTAAGTTCACAGGAGAGAAGGGAACAGTGAACATGCGTTCGCTAGCCAACAAGAGAAAACCCAAGCAAGACAAGTTTCTAGGAACAGAATGAACTGTCAGTGGGAAAAGAAAAGCAGTGGGTAGAGGGAGAAATGGCCACAAAAAGGAAAACACAGAAAGCTAAGAGACTGATGCCTCGGGGCTCGCACGATGGCTGCTCCGAGTGCATGGATTCTGTACCCACAACTAAGCAGAGGCACTAATTCCTAACAGCACTACAAATGGTGCCTGGAATCCTCTTTAGATTCATGTGTTGTTCCGGAGAGTCGGAACTGACTCACAGCTGACCCTCCGGCAGGCTTTCGGAGGCTTGAAGTTTTAAACCTGGTAATAATCTTTGAATATCATTAAATGAAAAGGGTGTGGGGCACTATTTTGAGGACAGGATGAAAACAAACTTGACGCAATCAGGAGGAAGGAGAATGAGCTGGCCGCTGTGATGAGCTCGGTGCTTACCCGAATGTCTTTTGGATGCTCCCCCTCAGCGATCCTAACCATCCAAAGAAACTTGTTGATATCATCTCCAGAGTAGCCAATAACACCTCCAAAAATAACCAGAACATAATCAACATCCAGGCTCCGCATAATTTTATAGGCTGCACTTTCATTTGAAGACATTGCTTTTCCAACCTATCAAATTACAGAAAAAGGGCTTAGTCTCAGAATGTGTGGAAAAAATGTATCTATACACAGCAGTACAAGAGAATCTCTAAAGTCTTATTTACATGTAACCATTTTACGACAATTTAAAAAAAAACAACACAACAACAAAACACCAAAAAAAACCCCACCACAGATTTATCAGATTTTTTAAAATGCCACATACTGTAACCAATCTGTAGCAGAAACATCAAAGTGTATGTGCTAATGTTTTTCTAATGATTCAATTTCACAAAATTACTATTTTAAAATAAAAACAGATACACTTAGAGGAATGAACATTTCTTACCATCTCAGGCTTGGACTGGCTAGAGCTTTTTCTAGGACATACATACAGTCTTACTTCTGTGACTGATTTATACAAATTCATTTGGTTAGGGAGATTTATCCTCATTTTTTAAATATAATTTTTAAGGAGAAAGAAATAATTTATGTATATACCTAATTTAAGAGTGCAAACTGCATACTCATGAAATAAAAGATACTGTTATACATACTCGGAAATTTTTGCTCCCATTTATTAACTAGGTACAGGTTAAACATAAGTATTTGAAAAAGTTTCCAATTTTGCCCAACGCTCTGGAGATAATAGATCTCACAAAAATCTACTATAAACCAGACTGTAATTCTGAACAATACATGAACAAATGAATCAACACTAGGCTTAAAAGAAAAACAAGCATGCCTTGAATTTACTTCAATGCATAAAGGTGAAAAGACAAAATCTGCGACCTCAGGAAGCAAAGCGTCCTTTCACACAGGGCAGGGTCTAGTCTCTCTCTTGCTTGTTAAGGTCTTACCAGTGCAATGTGGCTGTTATTCCACGTGTTGTTGTCCACCAGAGTCGTTCTATTGGCCATCCCAGCGATCTGATAGCCATAATCCCACCAAGACATCACTCGGGCATGCTCATCTGTGTTTTGCCTTAGCCAGAAGTAAGCTTCTCTAAAATCATCTAAGATATTTCTGGTGCTGAAATGAACCACAGTATTTTGTTAAATGAGGCCTTCCTTATAACTTTATAAGAACTTAAAAGTCTTGAGGAGCTGAAGAGCTAGACTAGTGCTTCTTGAACCTGAAAAACCCAAGTGTGTAATTATTTCATGGGAATATTCAAGAAGAAAGTGAGAAATATAGCCACTACTCCCTATGGGAGGGGGAGTGCATATCTAACAGATGCAAATGCACAGCCTCACAGACAACATGCTCTCTCAAACCTATGTGTGAGACACAGGAAGAAACAAAAACCAAAAAGTAGAGGCAAAATGTTTCCAGAACCCAGTCATTTTCTTACCCGTCATGATTGTAGGAGGCCAGGACCACACTCGGACTGGAATAGGCGTTGCTTGTGACCCAGGTACAATGGACTGCAAACATCATCAAGAGCATCAGCATCAACATGGTGACAACGCTTTTTATATTGGGACCTAAGCCTTCTTCAGTTTTTTCCTGTTCAGTTACATGTTTCCTCACTTTACCAGCCTGAAGATACAAAAAGCCAGTTAGAAAATACCAGATTTGTTCTAACAAATTTGTTTTCTCATGAGAGAAATTTAATTGGTGAATTTAATTTTAAGACTCATATACTGTAAAGCCATCAGGTCATTCTTGTCTGTGTGACACAAGTGCTTTATAAAGTCAAGGAAAACTCAGAAGTCTAACAGGAAGGAGAAGACTTCCTGAGGATATAGATCCAATCCATGGGCAGGGCACACAACCAACTCATCTCCAGAGCCCAGCTGTCCACTGTCTAACTTAAATACAAATGGAAAGAACCAAATGCACCATCCTGGCAGCTGCTCCCTGTAACAATCCTAACTGAGCCTGCGAGTACTGAATGGCAGTACCCAGTTCCAACAGAGGACTTCAGTGTCAGGAAAACAGACAAGTGCTCCACTTCCTACAAGTCTTCTCCAAATCTAAGCCTGCTTTGTTACCTGGGAGACTAGAGGCTTCAACTGAATGACATTATATGGGCCAGCCACCTACTGATAACACCACAGGATTTTGTTTATTTAGTTTAATTGCATTTTCTGTTTAAACAGCCAACAAAGGCCCTATTATGGGGGGGGGGGGACGGGGGCGGGCAGGGGATGCCTCTACTCTGAATAAGCTCCAGCGAAAGAAGAGCTCAAGGTGATTCCAGTGCCATCTGTCCACGTCCTGCAGGTGACTGTGTGGTTCTTATGACAGGCAGCTGCTGGTAAGGGTAACAGAACCAAGTAACTGCCAAATTTGAAAATCACGTGTGGAGTCGCTGTCCTCATGGGAGCCCAGCACAATGACCATCCCAGCAGGTCATGTTTTCAAGGATAAAGAACTGGGAGTCTGGGAACCACCAAGGACGTGCTTCATCCGTCCTGCAGCCCCTATCTAGAAGACTTTTCCCAATCTGTTCTGTTTCTCATGTTTACCGTCGGTAGATTTTATGCAATGTCTGAAGGACCTCTTTTTTCTATAAATGAGGAGTGTTCTGTTCCTTCGGTATCAGGACCCTCAGAGGAAGCATCTCCATGACGGAATGAGTCACTGAGGTTACGCGGTCTCACTGACCATCCCCTCACGCCCAGGCACAGCCTGGACCTTAGAGATCAGAGAACCTCTCATCCTGGCTGTTAGCGGCAAGTAAGAGAGATCATCATGGTGGGAGATGATGGCGGTGCCTCCTAGGGCATATGGGGGGCGCTGAGATGCTCAGAGGCGGCGTGCAGTCACCGGGACAGGGCTCAGAGCCGGCGCGCAGGACCCAGGACAGGGCTCAGTGCAGTAGGGAGGGGACAAACTGTTTCATCCATTTTCTTGTTACCAGTCAACCAAGTCTCTTTAAAAACAACGCTGCAATTGCATGCTCTACTCAAGCAAACTCCAAATCAAGGAGAATCTCTTGTTCTTTTGTATTCAGGCGTCTAGCGTGCCAAATTATACAAAATTTAACAGAACACTAGTTCTTTGCTCTCAAAAATGGAAGAGTATTGATAAGACTTGAGTTCTTAGAAAATACTTCACCAAAAGGAAACCAAGAATTTCTCTAACTTTACTATTTTTAGGCTGTGAGTTAAAAGATTTACTAGGAATCACATTCTGAAGAGAACAGAATGTAACTGGAAGAGGTGGTTGAAGCCCTTTGTTGGGAAGTCCCATTTCTTACTGTCTACCGTCCTTGCTGTGGGAGGAGGATAAAGCAAGCACAGGTTTGTAGGGGCCCGACTTTCGATTCCCTACCTTATCATACAAGTTTCCTGGATTTCTCTTGTCATCTTCATCACTGCTATCCTCCACTGGGGGGTTTTCTCTTTTCATGTCATCCCCCAGATAGTGCTCAAAAACGTTGGAGAAGGCGATTGCAGACAGCATACAAACAACTGGGGTCAAAGTCAACATCAGCCGCACCATCACGCCCGCGAAGTAGACAGCGCTGATTGCGTACAGAGCAACTGCAAAGACAAGTTCTCTGAGAACGCGAGGGAGACACGGCACTCGGGCTACGAGGCTTGACAACAAATGTGATCCGATTGTTTTAAAATGCATACTGCTTTTGTACTGTGTAGAAGTCATAGTCAGAAACACACTGATCTTAATATTGTTAAGCAATTACAATGTTTTGAAACAAGTTTTCTAAGGAACATTATGATGTCACTTATCATAGAGAACTTAATGCGGTTTAATACACATAGATACCGATGTTAATGAAATCATTTAAAACCACAGAACATTTATACAGTTACTCAGAAGGATTCTTTGTGCCCCTTTCTCAGTCAATATTAACCTCTTCCCCCCCCCCAAATAAATGTTATGTGGATTTCAACTATAATTTAGTCTGAGATGGCTTTTTAGTAACTACTATGCTGTATGAGATTGTACACAGCTTTAGTTTGCTTCGCTCCATAGTCAAGTCTTGGCACCAGCAGCCAGGAAATTAAAAGGCGCATTGCCATGGGAAAGTCTGCTGTTAGGGACCTCTCCAAAGGGCTGAAGAGCAATGGTGTCTCTCTGGAGACTAAGGTGCGTCTGATACAGGCCATGGTCTCCGCAATCACCAGTTATGCATCAGAGAGTTGGACAATGACCAAGGAGGATAGAAAGAGAATTGATGCCTTTGAGCTGTGGTGCTGGAGAAGAGTATTGAGAATACCATGGACTGCTAGGAAAACAAACAGATTTGTCCTGGAGAGGGTTAAACCGGGTGACTCCTTGGAGGCAAGGATTCTGAGGCTCCGTCTAACTTACTTTGGACATGTTGTGAGGAGGACATCATGCCTGGGAGGGTGGAGGGACGGTGCAGGAGGGGAAGGCCCTCTATGAGGTGGATTGATTCAGTGACTGGGATAATTGGGATGGGAGTGTCAGAGACAGTGCGATTGGCACAGGACAGAGCGGAGTTTAGGGCTGTTGTACATAGGGTCGCTATGAGTCGCAGGCGACTCGACGGCACATAACAACAACAACATGCTGTACATCCTTATAAGACCATATGAAAATTTATTCACACATTTACTGTTGATAACAATGAGCTGTTCCTCAACAGAGAGTATTATGAATAAATAACTCTGTGCATCTGTAACACGCTCGTTGGTGGGTAATGCATTCCTTTACCTATCAGTTAAAGTGCTGGGTCATCAAGTAAACCAACTCTTCTTAATTCACTATCCACGTGGCCAGATCTAAAGACCATTAAGCCAGGTAACCTAAGAAGAACAAGCATCCGTCCTCTGGCTAAAGGTATGCAAGTGCTGCTGTCTCCTCACTCGATTCAGCCGAGGGCCTCCTCCCTGGGGTGTCACTCAGCATCCACAACATCTCACTTGCAGCTCATGCTGTGGTTCTACCACATACTGGCTTCTATCGTCTGCCCACGATACAAAGTTTACCTTCGGTTTCATCAAGAATGAACCACAACAGACTAAAGGTGATTCAAACACGTAAAAACCTCTGGGGTATGACTTATTCTGTCTCTTTTTATTTTGACTCTTAGATCTTAAACACTGGCTTTTATGGGCCCAGCACGCTTCCGCTGCGCTACTCTGCTAGAACACTGGCTTTTAGATACAGTATTTTGCATTTGAAAATCTTTTATCAAATAAAATTTATATAGGAGTCTTAAAAGGAAATATTTACTAGCTAAGTGTATATATAATAAAAATTCACTGACTTGTGATAGAGAAAATTAACTTTTCACATGTAAAGTGAGGTAAGCAGAGAGGGAATAAATAACCTCAATATAGAAAATAAACAATCATTTTAAAAAGAATTAAAGTATTAAAGTTGATCTTACCAAACACCCTTTCATCGTTGATATTTTTGATGCAGAACCACAAGCCTGCTGGGAAGGTGCATACAAGAATATGCAGATCAAAGAAGAAAGACACCCACGTCGTAGGCTGATGCTCAGACACAGATGCAATAATGGGAATGTGTATTTTTGCATACCTGGTATTAAAATAGTTAGCATTACTTATAATACGTGAGGTGACAGAACAAGAGTTGCTGCTTTCAGATGACACCCCCTTCACGTAAGTGTATGTTCCAACCTAAGCAAGCAGACTTGAAATGCTCTTCTGTGGTCCACATTGATAAAATGAAAACCAGTGCCCTCAAAATCAGCCCCATCTGTCAAAACTGTTAGCTATGACGTCTAATAAAAATATTAAACAAGAATCTCATTTTCCATTTAAGTTCAGCACCTCCTAAATTTAAGAGTTTCATGACCTTTTGGAATTCTGGTCAATGCACCTTCCCCCGTAAAGTCCACTGCCCGATTCCTAAGTAGATGAGGGAAATGAAACACTAGACCCATTAGTCCTAAAACACGGAGATTCCAAATTAAGTAAAGCTTTGAAAGCGGAAGTATTAGTTAATAATTTAACCTCGTCAGAGTAACTGTCTACAAAAGGATTATCCCTCACACTTTTGTAATCCCTGGGGCTGATCTGAGTGCATGTCCCTTAGCTTTAGTCGAGCACATGCACTCTGCTTTCGCCCTTCATTAGACAAAAGCCTTTTAGATACAGCACCAAAAGGAGGCTGTCAGTGACACCCAGTAAGGGGCCGTCTTCCCCACAGGGCTCTCTGGAGCGTAATCTGCACAGGAGCAGACTGGCAAGTCTTTTCCTTTGGAGCCACTGAACACGCTCAAAACACCAGCCTGTCCGTTAGCAGGCAAGTGCTCGACTGCTGCGCCACCAGGCCTCCTAACAACAACAATCCCAACGATAAATCCCTAACAACAACAACACCTGCTGAGGTCATTCAGATTCTCAGTGACAGCGTAGAAGCGCCCCAAGGGCTTCCACAGCTATAAACATTAACAGAAATAAACTGCCACAGTTTTCATCTCACAAAGTAGGTAGTGGGTTCCAACAGCCCACCTTTAGTTAACAGTCAAGACAGCCAGCGCACCCCCAGGGCTCCTTCCTCTAGCCAACGATCCCATTAAACTAACCAAGGTAAGTTTTTAATTGGGCCACCTTGTATTAAACTATTTAATGCACTTCAAATGTCTCATCAATTTATTCTGCAACTATACTCTAAATCACACAAATACTTTCTAGTGAGTGAATTCACAGAAAAAGCTCAACAATTTCATTCTGGTGGTTTTAGAAATTCTTCTCAAATCCATGGTATGTAGATCTGTAACACAGCACTCATTCAATTACAAACTCAGCACCATGAAAAAGGCAGAAGGGAACTTCAGTGAGTTGTGCAGCCAACCAGCTGCTCAGGACAAAGCTGGACAATCTCCCTTTGTGCCATTTACTGCCTCTGAAAATCCGGTGGAGGACAGTCAGCTATGAACTGACTCTGACTTGATGCACATTAACAAAACGGTAGAAATCTCAATATGCTAGTAAAAAGGAAGGGCGCCCTGGGGACACGGTTACTACGGAGCTAACTGCTAACCCAAGGGCCACCCCCTGGTTCAAGGCCACTAGGGGCTCTGTGAGACAAAGAGGGGCAGTTACTTCCCGTGAGTTCCAGAGCCTCAGAAACTCAGACTCAGTTTCAATAAGACAGCAATGAGTCTGAGTAAAAACCAAAAATAAACCCTTAAGATATTAAATGTTTCCAGGAAGTTCTAAGAAAGCTAATGATGCTTATACAAATTAGAAATAGATAAGTATCATATAAAAGTGTGCTTAAAACAAGTATTACAAACTACACTAAAACACAAGACATTAATATTTACAAAACTAGAATATGCTAGGTACTTTAGCAATGTTGTTCAAGTAATGGCTGAGAAGAGGAAAAAAGTTATTTGAATATACAAGTAATCTGGACTTCCAATGTATGAGTTACAACAATCTTGAAGTTTTTTTAAAAATATCATTTAGTAATAGGTATGGCAACAAACGTTGCAGCATGTTAATTTGCTATCAGATGTTAAAAAATGAGATTTATAAATAAACGGCAGTAATATCCACTTCCTAAACAACATGCCTCCTGAAACTCCATGAACTCTGATAAAAGTTGGTAGTTGGTTGTAGAGGGGGTTCAGGCCTTTTGTTCACAGGGTCGCTACAAGTTGTGCTCGACTCGAAGGCAACTGACAACAATAATAATACAATGAAATTTATAGAAAAGTCTTCAACTTTTATCACATTGAGTTTACTACAGAGTAGTCAGCATGGGATGTCATTGCAAGTCCAGAACTACCTGTAATGTAGCAACAAAACCCCTGTCTGCACGTACCCAGTGTCCCACAGGGAGTAAAATCTGCCACTCCACGGGGCAATGTAACCTTGGAAGGAAAAAGAGAAGATAAATCTGCCTTTAGTGAGGGATGATATAACCAATATTCAAATCATTTCTATTTTTCTTTGGCAAATGGCAACGTTTTCAGACATACAGCAGTCACATAAGAAAGGTTAAAGATCAAATAAAAACATGTATCATGGCAGAGCCAGTTCTGGAGAGAAACAGCTTCAGTTGGTAGATAAAACTGTAGAAACACATTTTCAAATCTTCATTTGTTTTTAATTAACTTGTTAAATAAGGTTAAGACCTTTAGAAATACAAAGAAAAGGAAAGGGGCTAACTTTCGCAGCTAAGTATACCAAATGCCATCAGGTAAATTACAAAACTCAAATCCAGTCTAAGCCATGCCACGGTACAATTTGAGAGCCCCGTAATTCTCCAGAACAGAACACAACTTTCCCAGGTCTCCGAGGACGTACATCCTCACAAGAGCCAATGGGTTGGTCTTTGTCCCTGCAAGGCTGGTGGTTTAAAGTGCTGACCTGACCATCTGGTCAGCTGTTAGACACTTTAAACACTGTCCCACTGCAATACCTTAATAGCACACAGAGGTGATTTTCAATATCCATGCTTTTTATTGTCTATTTATTGTTTTTATGAGCTGAGCTGATGTATCATTTGACAGATGGAATAACTGTAGAAAGAATTTGACATGTTTCTAGGGACTGGATTATAAAGTAATTTAGAAACAAATGGCAACTGGACTGGCTGGCTGTTTAGATCTGTCTTTATGTAATATAAGAAACTTAAATGCATATACTACTATTACACTTAAAAAACACCAAACTGTCAAACTGTATCCAGATGCAAGACCAAGGGCTTTAAGTCCATTTACAAAACCAGCCAAGCAGCAAAAGCAGCAGAGACAAGAGAGTCTGCACCCTAAGGAGGGGTCAGGGGAAGTGACATGGAAGATCTGAATGTAGACAAAATCGAGCCTCTTATACAGGAAATGTGTTTCAAAGTAGTTTCATCGGAGCACACAGCAGCAATACTACGTAGACATGCAACCTCGAGAAATCCAGTTATTAGCTATATAATTTTTAAATGTTTTTACAGTGGTTTGATAGATGATATCATAGATTGGTTTACAGATGGCAGATAATACAATAGTGCCAAGTTAAATCATGTGGGATTGTAGAGAAATTAGTGTAACTTGAGCCCGAGCTTTAAGGGCGAGCCAGGGAGGCTGAGTGATGAGTGAACAGATCATGAGAATCCCAGCGAAGGACCTCCACCCGTGCGTGGATTTCAAAGGAGACTAAAACATGTAAACATCTCTAAAGAACCCAATGTTTTGCCTTCTTACAAAGAAGGATTTTACGTTACAAATATTCACTTCTCTGCTAATTTTAGAGCAAGAAGAAGGGGTAACCCATATATAACTTCCAGACTCAAATATTCATAGCTTCTCTTCTATACTATAGACAGTACCTAGCTGGTCAATGTTAACCGAGAAGAGGCTAAGACTGTGACCAGGGGACCTGGAGCTGTTATTGCTCTAAAAATGTCACAATAATTTATAAGTCCCCAGCTATTTCCTACTTATTCTCAGGATAATGTGAATTAATACAGATATTAAAAAATTATCAAATGTACTCGACTCACAAGATAGGGTCTTTAAAAACTCAGAATTTGTACAAATGCTGTTCAAGTTCTGATTAGAGATCTTTTGCTCCATTATTCATAAGAAATGCGACTATAGTATATGAGTTACTAGGACAAACTGAACAAGGATGAAAGCAGCATCTTTTGAACAATAACAACACTGAGACTAGATTGTCTCTATGAGTAACAGGCACCTACCTGTGTAAGTCAAGTAGATGACACTAAGGAACACAGCACCTGCAGCTAATGATACACCCAAAAAGAAAAGGGTCTGGAACTCCTGTTTTGTTAAGCGGTCTCTCAAATACTGCAAGAAAGCATAGGCTTGCAGCAGCGCAAAGACTCCTAATTAAAGAAGAGAATTACATAAATAAACCAAAAAATGTACTTTCCCCAAATCATTTCTAAATCTTCATTTCAAAGAGCTTCTTAAAATATGCTACCGAATTCCAACCAACCTTCGAGCCAAGGCTTCCTGTGCCAAATGATCTCTCAGTAATTTTCTTAACAATTCTTTCACATACTTTCTTCCTTAAATGGTCAGGCCCTGACTGCCACATACCATCACTTTAAGACAGGATCACCCAATTTAAATGCCTCATGTTTCCATGTAGGACCCTGAACTCTCTCCTTCTCATATTTTAACAGGCAAAAAAAGTAATGAAGACATCATTGGAAGAAAATTCCAGGTTTTTGCTTTGCCAGAGAGTTACCACAAAGTAACCTGACTGGAAAATCCTGGCGCACAGGCACCGTTTATAGAGGAGTGTGGGTGCTGTGTGCTGGTTACTCTCAACCAACTCACAGCTGACACTCTAGCGGGTTTTCAGAGGCTATAAATCAGACTGCGCAGCTTTCTCCTAGGCAGCAGCTGGTATAGGCCAACTACCTGGCTTCGCGTTGACAGCACGACTCACTACCCACTTGTCCACCAGAGCACCCTGTGGAGTGACCGGATGTGACTTCATTACACTATTAAGTAAAATTCTCAACTAGTATACAAAAAAGTGAACGCCGAGATGTACAAATCAACCCACCAACGGACAAACACAGAACCGTCAAAGTGCAAGAAGAACACAAACCAAGTGGAATCCTCACTTCAATGGTTTTGTTTTTTAGAATTCCAAGTCACCATTAAAGGGTCATTTAAATTGTATAACGGATTTTAACTGGAAGAGGAACTCTGGTGGCCTAGTGGTAAGAAGCTGTGCTGCAATCCCAAAGGCACGCAAGTCTAATTCAGCAGCTGCTCCGCGGGACAAGGGTGGGCAGTCTCCTCGCCCCAGAAAACCCGCTGGAGGGTCAGCTCTGACTCAACGGTACACCACCACCACAACAGTAACAGACTAACGCCCTTCCGGTTACTGAACAGAATAAAAGCTATGGAACTTTATGGATAAAGTCATATGTATCTCCAGAGGTATAAAATTCATATATAACAAAAAAGTGCCCAGACTCCTTAGAGTCATGGAACTTGGAACAAGAATCTGCCATTGTTTTACACACAGATCTCCCATTATCTGGCTAACTGTGACCCAGATAAAAAAGTAGCAAAATATTATTTATGGAGAGGAATTCTATATAATGCTCTTACCACCAATATAAAAGCCATTCTTTAGAATTAAATACACACAGAATACCATTTTGCTGAGGAGAAAGATATAAAATCTTTCACCCAAATTTGCTGACATGGAAGTTCAGTGGTGCAGTAAAGTGGAGACAGACTTATTTAAAACTGCTTTATACAAAAGTTATTCAATGTTTGCAATTAGCATGGATTATGTAAAAAGATTTTTCCCCCGTTTTTTAAAAACAGCAACAGCTGAGTGGGAATGAGAAATTCTCAATAGATATCAATGATCTTTTAAAAGTCATGTTACAGAATTAGTAAAATGAAAATTAGAAAATAATAAAACATCTCCATTCCCTGGGGAGAGTGGCCTCCAAAGTGGTAGCACATTTACACACTCTTTAGAAGGAAAAGAAGTATTTTTCTCATACCTGCTGCTGCCATGTGTTCACTTGTTCTGATTGGCTGGAATCCCACAAAGGGTATCTGCATGGATAATATTAAACCCACAATGTAGAAAGTGCTATATGCTATAAAGACAAAATAAGAAACAAGAACAATTTACTACTACCATTAAATAATGAAAACCTTACTTAAATGGGCACAGATAACTTTTTTCTTTTGTTTTGGTGTCTTGTTTAACAGATGATTTAACCACATTTATTGCTACCCACAAAATTTTGCAATGACTATTTGATGATTAAACCTACATTACACACCATGAAGATACACTGTCATAAAAAAATTTTACTTCTTTTGCAGAACATTTGTTTTCCATCTTCAAATTGTTTTATTTAAATCTATCACCAGTGATCACTGATGTAACCAGAAACATTGCAATATACATGAAGAAATACCATTCCCAAAGGCACTAAACCAAAAAACCCAAAATATTCAAAAGCTAATGAATTCTCATCATCAAATTACACAAATAACTTTCTGAAAAGCTCTCTTGTATTTCATACCCTTTCTATAGTTTCATTAGTATTACTTATGAGTTAGTGTCAACGAGACCCGGTGGAGAAGCTTTGTATTTAAAAGTCGGTTGTTATATTTTGGAGAAATACTTCTAAGTGGTACAGCACTCTTCTGTCAATTTGCTGTACTGAGATAACCTGGGTTTGCTGTGATGCCGAACCTTGTGCCATTGGAGTGTCAAATGACATAATGGTTACCCATGGTAGACAGTGTTTGACGGAGCTCCCAGATAAAGACAGGTTTGGAAGTAGGACTGGAATCCACTTCCTAAAATACATCTCTGGAAACTATGAACTTTGTGAAATGACAATAATTATATACAGGCTTCAGGTATTTTGTTCATAGGGTTGCTATGAGTCGTGCTCTACTTGGCAGCAAGCAACAACAACAATTTATAAATGAAAGACATACAAATTGAAAAATCCCATGTTGTTTTCTGTGATTAAAAAGAATGGGTGAACACAGACATCAACCTAATATAGACCAGTTACTGAGTTTAGAATCTGACGAGGGCGATTTGTCTGCCTGTGGCAACAAGTCCACTATCACGCTCCTGTCCCTTTAAATCCACAGGCGATTGGGAAAGGGATTACAGTCTGTATCTTAGAGTTTCTTGAGGTGTTTTACATGAACTCTTCACAGGAAGGAAACTGACCACAAAGAAAATTAGCACTGGGAACTATGTAGAATTCGCTTCTTTACCACTGGCTCCTGCTCTTATGTCAGTTCTTTTCGGATCAGTGACTGTGTATTCCTTCCATCTTCTTCTGATGCCTCCTGGGTCAGTCAACATATTGCCCATCCTTATAATCTTGGACACAACCAAGGCCACTACCGTAATCATTAGGTCAATCCACCTGTTTTAAGGATTCTTCTCTTTTGTTGTCCCTCCACCTTTCTCAAGCACGATGTCCTTCTCGAAGGAATAAGACTCCTAACAACATGCCCAAAGTACACTGTTTCTGACAGTTTTATCATCTGACTCCACGGAGCACTCTGGCTGCACCTTCTCCAAGACATACTGGTTTGTTCCTTTGGCAATCCATGAGATATTCCATACTCTTCCAACAGCACAGCTCAAAGGCATCAACTGTTCTGTCATAGTCATTCACTGCCCAGCTCGTGGGATCATAGCAAGTGACTGAAAAGATCGTGGCCTCAATCCTCTGACTAATTATAACCACATTAAAAGCACAATCTCTGAGACTAAGCTGGAGAAAACCGCACGTATTTATGTTCTTTTACTGTAACCTTGGTGGAAGAGTGGTCCGTTCAGCTAGCACTTGGTGGTGTGGACATCTAGTCGCTCCATGGGATGAAGGCACGGGCAGCCTACTTCGGAAGTATTACAGCCTTGGAAACCCTGTGTGGCACTTCCACGGTTTGAGAGTTGCAACAGACTTGACAGTCTCAAGAATAGAGTTAAGTTCACTTACTTAAACACTTCCAAGACAAGATTTTCTATTTTATATATATATGTGTGTGTGTGTGTATGTATATATATGTATATGTGTGTGTATATATGTGTGTGTGTGTATATATATGTGGAAATATAGGTTTGCATATGCGATGAATGATAAAATACTAGTGCATAATGAGTGGACAGGTTAAGTCCTTACTGTTTTGTTTTTTTTCCATTTTCTGGGGTGAGATTCACAACATAAAAATGAATCATTTTCTGGTGAGTAATTTTAAAGCAGTGACATTTGCACAGTACATTTATAATGTTACACATGTTTATCTAGGTGTAAACTTTTCGTTACTCAAAACAAAACCTCCTACATCTATTAAAAGATTGCTCCCTACTCTCCCCTTCTGCCAACGTCTAGTAATAAGCCACTTAATCTATATTCTCAAGGTAATACTCCTTTGTAAAAAAAATAAAAACATGCAGTGGAAAATTAACATCTCTACTCTCTTGCTTCTAAATCACTGGAAGCATATACATGTATTTATTCACTCATATTTTCTCTCTCAAATTCAGACACCACCACACATAGTAATTTCAACATTTCAGCAATCACTTCCTTGGTAACTAGAACGGAAGCTTCCTCTTAGGCGTGTTAAAGTTCATTGTCAATGAAGAGTAAACTTACTATTTTTGAGTCATCAGGTTTATGCAACTTTACAGACTTTTACTGTCATTAGCAAAATACACAACCCTTTATATAGAGAAAAGTTCAAGAATAAGATCCCCAATTTTTAGAAACAATTACAGCAAAAGATCAGACAGCACTTTCTATGATTACTTTGAAAACCTAGGTTGGTATCAAGTAAGGTGTAGAGAAACATTACCACCAAAGTATTTCCTTGTCTAGATGATCCAAATTACCATTTATAATAAGAAAAAACCCTAGTACCTGTGATGTCTGGCTCCCAGAAACCTTAGACAGGCTGAGTTTTCACAGGAGAAAGCTGCCCATCACTCTCCCAGAGAGGCCAATAGTGTCAAATCACCAGTTTTTGGGTTGACAACTCAACACTTAACCCAGGGCGCCACCAGAACTCCAACAACTCAAAGATAACCATTTTCTTTTAGAGAAGTGAATTTATATATCCTCTATTTTTATTCTGTTTTTTTGGTTCATAAACTTAGAGCTATTTATGTAAAGAGGTATGTGTTTTGTATCTTGCTGAAACCTTTAACAGGGAGACTTATTTCCAAAACAAAATTCAAGATTGTCAGGAAATATAAAACGTCAAACATCATAAACTCACTTTACTTAACATCAATGCAGTTCTTGAATTTGGAAGGTTATACATATATCTCAATTCAAATTCCCTCTGGTTATAAGATACTGAGAATAAAGAAAAGATATTCTTGAATACAAAGAAACCATGAATTAACTCTCCATCCTTTAATATAAACACAAGTCTACACTGTAGGATGAAAACACGCTTTTCTGTGACTACAGCATCTTAGTGTTTAAAATTCCAACAATGAATGGAAATGCAAAATATCTGCAAATGTTCATTAAAATGAATAAAATAAACTTTTTTTTTTAAAAAACTCCCTCATTAGTTTGTTCTGTCAAATATTAACTATGTTTCTATTATGATCTTGGCACTCTAAAATAGAAAATCCTTTTAAGACCAACTCTACTTCAAGCTGGGCAGATGGATGGGAAAGTCAGAGATTCATGCAAACAACTCAAATACGTAATGCAGTTAAATTTACGCCACATCCGAAAAACAAAAGCCAGAAACCAGCATTCTTACATGCACAGTCACGATCCCCTTTTTTACAGCTCACGAATGCTCTAGAACAGTCTCCCCACCACGAACTCAACACAGATCATTCCCCATCACCTCACCCTGGTCTCCAGGAGCCCTGACCATATTATCAACATCAATCACAACTTTTCAGCCATCTTTGATTATGCTACTTTCTGTATTCTTTAAACCAAAAGAATAAAGGCTTTCTTTCCATCACAGTGGTGGGTTCTAAGAAACTTCAGAGCATCAATAATGTTGTAAATAATTTATTACATCATGAAAACGTTACCACACTGCCATCCTGTGGAAGCACAGTTACTGGCATTCACTACTGCAAGTGGCACTTTCACTGTGTTAGACAGAATACAGGGGGAAACCCTACCAAGGGGCACTGTGTTCTGCTTAATTATTTGTAAATAAAGAAAATCCCTTCAAGGACCGACAGTAATCTTTTAAACAGCACCTTACAAATATCCAAGCCTACGACGTGGGCAAGACTGGTTCAGGGTAGAAATAAACTGCTGTGTGTGCCTTAGTGGACTCAGCTATGTAGAAAAGAAAAGGCATTAAAAGGGTCAAAATCAAGGTCTGCTAAAATTTACAATTTTTAAAAAGCTCCTGCTGTTTTCCAAGTTAAAAACTTTTAAATCTCTTCTCTTGGATGAAGCACTGCAACTTATGTTGACAGTACTCATTATACTTTGAAATTATTGTTATACTTCCTTCTACTGAAGTAGAATAAATATTTCCCCATTACCTTTGAACCACCATTAAATCACAACAGCAATTCCCAAGTGGTTTGTTGGTTTTTTTTTTTTTTATTAATCTCTCGGATTTTGTTTAATGGAAATGTCTAACAGAACACTATTGTTTGGGGGTGGGGTGGGGGAATCCCAGGGTTAACCAACAAAAATACAGTAGCAAAATACTTTAACTCTTCTCAGATTATCATCATTAATTATGAGCATTATTATTCAGTTTATAAAAGGAAAATTTAGTTATATCTTCTCTATCCAGTTAAGATTCCAAGTCTTGTAATTGCTGTTGAAGAATCTAAACGATTTCTGAGTTACAAGATGAAGGCAACTTCATATCAAGATAATTCAACCTCTAAATTCGATCAGAAATTCCTTATGTAAAGTGCCTATTACCTGGCTATGAAAGATAGTTATACACCTGCCCTCGAGCCCACATACGGGAACAGCCAGCCAGTGCTGTGCTCATATTCATCAAGAACGGCTAAGAAATGCGCTTTACAAAGAGTTACGCCTTATTTTTATGAAAATAACAAGTATGTTACAATTTCTGCCAACAGAAAAATTTCACATAATGCACT